AAAACAAATTTAAGTGACTTTAAATTATGAAATGGGAGGAATATTATTGCTCGATAAAATCTGGACTTTCCCAGTTCACTCGCTTCGCCTCGTGAAATGGAAAAGTCCAGATTTTTACCTTGCGATAACATTCCTTCCATTTCACTCTGAGCCACTTAATATTTGTATAGTAGACCCCAGGGCATGGTCAGAGTTGTAATTATACTCTCAGAGTACGAGCACTTGTACTTCCGAGTACGAGTACGAGTACTCGCATTTCCGAATACGGCCATACGGCAAATGGTTCATAGTGCATAATTGCCCCAGGCCCAGTCAGACCGATATACAGACCCACTCATGGCTAGATGTTAAATGTGTTTGTCCGGACTTGCACAGAGGAAAATCAGGAATCTCGATTTCTCAACAAGCCAATCAACCATTTCAAACTGAAAGTGTCGATAAAATAAGGCCATGGTAAGCTATAACATTTTCGCCCGAGTACTGCTATTCGAGTACGAGTACTTTAATGATCGAGTACAATTTTGACATGTCGAGTACGAGTACTTTGCTGCCCGAGTACCAGTATTGTCATTTCGAGTACGAGTACTTTAATGATCGAGTACAATTTTGACATGTCGAGTACGAGTACTTTTTGCTGCCCGAGTACCAGTATTGTCATTTCGAGTACAAGTAATTTGACATTCGAGTACAAGTACGAGTACTTCAAAAAAAGTACTCGAGTAGTACCCGAGTACGAGTACCGAGTACGAGTACTACAACACTGGTTGTAATTGCGTCAGTCACAAGTCAATCACAAGTCAGGTCACTAGTAACGAGGGATGTAGAATGACAGAGGAATATCTCTGTCACGGCTCATTTGAATAGTTAGTGATTTAATTTATGATCTGGATAACTTGCAATGACTTTTTACTGACTCGATCACAACTCCGGGCGTGGTTGCATTGCATGACTGATTCTCATCTACTTAATATGTAATTAAGCATGATATGGAGGGAGCCTTTGACATGATTTAACCATGTTGAATGTGACAACAGGTAGAGTAATGAAACTACTATCGACAAAAGTGTTTGTGGTAATGTACAATTCGCAAAGTGGTTTCATAGGGGTCATTTAAGCAGACTTTAACTGCACATTTGGATTGGTATGGAGAAATCAACCCATGGTTGAACTTCATTTTGAAAAAGTAACAATTCTGGGGTATTTGCGAAAAGAAATAGATTTGATTATATTATCTTAATTTAACATTTTGTTTCCCAATGGTTCACAATCTATTTTCTATTCTATAACTTTCTTTTCATTGAAGCATTAACAGTAAAGACAAATCAACAAATTTAAAATTTCTTAATCTACATTGTATGTATAAACTTGTCAATTTAATTTACCAAGGGATTATTGTTGAAGAAGTCCCAAACTTTGATGTTTTTATCATACCTGGCAATGCATACAGATAAGTATCCAAATTTCAACTTTTGTTTTGAGTCTCTAGCTGTAGTGCTGAAACGTCTGTTTTGTACCGTTCCGTTTACTTCAGACAGCAAAAGTGATGGTGGTCCATTCTTCACCGAGTGGATCATGAAGCCATTAGCTCATCTCTTCATTGGGAGAATCTTGTCCAACATGGCAGTCATGGAGAATTATCTGATCAATGAATGTCAAGATATCAACTTCACCATCATCAGACCATCAGGACTACAGGACAAGCCAGTCTCAGGTGAGGATGTGGAATATCTGAGAGGTTTTGACTTTAACCCCTTCTCATTGCTGAAAATCTGAGCAGCACAAAATGGCACAGCTTTAGTATATTGTGCTGATGGAGTGCATTGTCACTGTACAGGCTGAGTAAAAAAAAAAAACCGAAACCCAAATGTTGGGACTATTGTTTTAGTGAAGTTCTGCATGTAGCACTTTCAAAATCTAGGATATGAAATCCCAATTCATAAGCTTTCTTTTAGCACGAGAATCATTCAAATCACTCATGTACTTTTCAAGTTACGGAATTTTAAACACAACCACTGTTATAAAGTTCTGTCCACGGATCACCAAAATAGGTGTGCGTTCTTTCAGCAAAACCAAAACAATTTACACACATCCTATGTGATTTGTTTTTTTGCTCAAAAAAAACCAGTTACCTTTGATCGCCAACAGCTGGCGTCCTGAAAGAAAGTTGACCTCTGAAAGACTGCAGTCGCGCGCCGAGTCTCATGCACGCATGATGCCCAAGTGCCGTATCACGCATCTACCAGAAATTTGGGAAGTCGTTTATCCTTGTGTAGAGGATCCGTGATTCAACCACGTGAAGACCATCCAAATCTGTTCAACTTTATAATACCTCTCGTTCTCATCCAAACAGATAAGGAGTACCTGACAGAGGAGCTACAATATGTCACGAATGGCGCGGGACGTATATCACGAGCTGACGTTGCTAGATTTATGCTGAACGCACTGGACACGTCTGATTATGATAAAAAAGCAGTGGCAATTGCTATCAAACCTTAAGATGAAAATGAAAGGTACATGACTGTAAGAAATAATATTTTTTTACACTGTCAATGTATAAAAAAAAGTCTTTTAAGTTTTATGGTTTTAAATTTAGCATTGCCCAAACAGAGATATTTTTCATAGGAATTAATTTTAAACGTATTGTTAGTGTTGCAAGAACACAGACATTGCCTTATGGGCTCCGAGCACAAATACCGTACACCTTCAGCGGCCAGAAAAGGAGAGTTGGGGGAGACCTAGACTGATTCCCGGTCCATTCACTGCGTATTTTGAATGATCCAAAGTTATCAGGGGCAGGATTAGTCTGGGAGACCATCGCAAGTTAAAATTGAACGTATTCGAGCGCCGACGATGCGCGACGCTCATGCGAAGACGATGGGGCTTATAGGTCTTGCACATTCAGGCAGTCGTGCATACTTTGCACGCGAACCATTACAGTACAGCTCATGCTTCGTTTTTATCCACGGGGCTCTCAAAAGTGGTAAAAAGCGCCCTCTTTTGTTGGCGCACGGAGCCCATAGAAGCCGCCAGCTCATTGCTGATAACTGAGGTAGTAGAATGCCAGGTTATTGTCCAGATTGCAGGTCGAAATTGCTTCAGTCAGTGTTCTTTGTCATTCCTAAAATCTAATTATAAAACTTGTCAGAAAATCCCCTCGCCCCCTTTTGATTTTTCAGAGGGCAGGTCTTTGTGGAAAAAAATCTGACATCCGCTGGTGCTTGTTTTAACTACATTTCATTCATTTACCCGTCAATCAGAGAATTATAAATTAACATTCATTTGCCAGTAATGTATTTATTAAATTTATAAACTGTTCAAAAGAAAGTGATTGTTTTTCAAGTATTCTAAGTGTTTACTTACAGAAGATGATTAGAGAATACTCCGTGAAACAACAAATTTAAATTATGGCTTTATTTCTATAAGAAAAAATTTATTCAATCAAGTTTGTATTTATTCCATGATTTGTTTCTTGATATGATCTGATGATTTGAGTTTTCTACTAACTGAGGATAGCATATTTTATACCTTCAAGATTTTATTTTCCTTTTTTTTTTTGATCAGTTATAATGTGAAGGACGTGGAATAAAAAATTAATATATTGAATGAATTTAGTTTCATTGGAGAAATTGGTTAGGAAAACAATAAAAGTAAGATTTTAAATGTAATTATTTTTTTAGTAAAAGTATATTCTAATGAACGTTATGATAATTTGTAAATGCTTGATATTATAAAATGGATCCATCAAGCTTGTTTTAAATTAAAAAGATATCACCTTTTTCCTCAAAATCATTGTTTAACCCTTTGATAAATAATTTGAATAAAATGTCATTAAAAAAAAAATTAGGTGATCCTTGCATATAAAAAACATGAATTTTGAAGTGTACACCCCAGCACATCCGACCGCTGAGCTGGTGAATAAAAGTTATACTTTATTCTTTATCAAAGAGTTCCGAGAGCCATGGAATTTGGGGGATTGAAGACAAATGGCACTGCACCTCTGGCCTGGACTTGTGGCTTCCAATTCTGAGCATTTTGAATGTTGTGGAGAAATCCTTTTTCAAAGGGCAACTTTTCCAGTTTGGGAATAATTCGTTTTAGGGGTGTGCCTTCTTGGATGAGAATATCTCACTAAAGTCAATGGTCAACCCATCAAAAATAGAAAGGAAACTGATAGACGACATTTTGATCATAATTTTTCTGCGTAAGCCTGAACACCTGTGATAGTTTTGCGTATTTAAAAAAAACATGAAGTATGGGGATTTAATTATCACTTGGTGCACCCTCGACGGAAAATCGAAACGCCACCTGCGGTAGTAAAGTGCGCCCTCAACAGGCGAACAGATGACAGTAATTCAACCGCATATATACATAATGTATAGGGTGCGTTCGAGTAGCTCACCCGGATCGACTTGAATTATAATTAGCCACGACAGACGGGTTAGCCACGACAGCGCGGCTAATCGAACGCTCGATCAAGCGCGGGCCATCACGATCCTCACGTGATGTCCGTAGCCCTGACAAAACGCCCGTTTCGTGCTGGGTCTTCGTTTGAGATTTACTGTTTTTGTGTCAATATTGCACTCAAAAAAGTTAGGCTGGAACTAATTATAGCCTCTACAACGGCGCAATGAACTTATAATTTGATTTATTAAGTTCGTTGCGACTTTAAAGAGCTATAATGAATTCCAGCCCAACTTTTTGAGTCATGCAATATTAACAAAGACCTAAAAATAATATTAACTTGATTTTTTGGGTCCACTTGACATCGCTGTCGGGCCTCCATATTTGTCCGTTTTTAGGGATGAACAACGCATGCGTGCCTTTATCCACTGAGTGACTCTTCGGCGGCCATAACCAAAAACTGGTCCTGTACATGTACGTGTTTCTCTTTGGTTAATGTTTTTGGGATTTGAGTATTGCATTATCTGTTGGGATTTTCGCCCATTTAATACTCCCAAAGAATTCACCGACAAGAAACAACCGAACCAATTCTTGGTTATGACTATTTGACCGCCAAAATATCAGAACTCTCACTCTCATCAACATATCATCTTTCAGTTTCTTTTCATTTTTCTTTTCATTTTTTTTTTTGACTTTTCGAAAAAAAATTACCCAAAGAACCGACCCCTATTTTTCCCAAAGCGGAGAAGTAGCCATCTTGAAAAAAAAAATCCTCCACCACATGGTAAAATAGCACCACTTTCTGAGCACAATTGCATCCAAAATGCTCTTAATTGGAAGCCCCAATTCCGGGCCAGAGATTCATTGCTATATCTTTTCAATTGCCCAATGTTATGGTTCTCGGAACTCTACAGAATATTTTGAGGGTATTTTGTATTCATGAGCTAGGCGGACGGATTTCTGCCGAAATCTTTGAAAATTATTTTCTCCCGTTTAGAAGCAGTGGCGTGGCACGGTCATTTTTATTTGGGGGGTAACATTTTTTGAAAAGGGTACTTGCACATCCGTTTTGAAATGTAGAAAAGTAGACAGGCTTTTTTTCTCCGTACACTTGGCCTCCGTAAAATCAAAAAGCGGGGGGGGGGGGGGGGGGGGTTACGTCGTTTACCGTCTGTCGATTGGGGCGCGGTTCAAAACCGACGAATATGCACATAAAGGGCCAATACATGGTACTTTTCAGGGCGATACATGTGCATTTCAGAAAAAGGCACCCAAAACGGCATATGCCACAAAAAAGGGCACCACTTCTCAGAAAAAAAAGGCACTTCGTAAATAAAAGGGCACTCTTTACAAATTATTGGTTTCAGTTCTTTTCGTTAAAAGGAAAAATAGGCCTGGCTACGTGCATTTTGGAAAGTTGTAACACTTGCGTTTGCAATATCTTAAAATCTTTTCAAGACTCATTATTATTACTAAGGTTCCTATGCGTTATGGTGTGCCTCCTTCACGAGTTATTAATTGATAAATGTCACCCTTTTGGCCGCGTTCCATTGGTCGACACCGACGCCAAGTCACGCAGAGTGACGCTAATGAATTTGCTCATATGCCCGTCGTCGGGTCGTTGTTGCCGGGCCGAAATCGGTCATATCAACCGTAGCGCATATGGCGCTTTGCTGAACAATGCACGTGGGTTGGGTGGGAAAAATACTTACTACTTTTACTTGGCGATAGTTCAAGGTGTAACACTAGCGTTTGCAACAACAAATCAAGCTGAAATTAGGGATATACTTGTTCAACTACTTGTGAAAAAACAACTTCCGGAGATTCCTAAAAATTGGTATAAATACATAAATTTGGGGAAGTTTTCGAACGATTTCTTTCAGCAAGGTCAGCTTTACCAGTAGTATTAGTGGAGCTGCTAAGCGAAAAATCGTGCACTTTGTGGTAAAAGCATGAATTTTGGCATGTGTGGTCAAAATGGGCTAAAAATCATTTTAAGATCGGGACCCATCCTGGATCTTGCCCATTTTGGGGGCGGAGCTTGATTTTTCAAAAAAAGGGGTGCAAACAATACAAACTCAGGAAAACTGTATTTAACATCAAATTTCCTTGTTTTTTTAAGCTTTGAAATTAACTTAAACATGAAATAAGACATTCTAGCATTCTAACACCAGTTATCTTCCACCCATTTTGTGGGCGTGGTCTAAATGGTAAAAGAGGCGGTATATATTAGCAGTTTGGTTCTAATATGGAAAACGTCATTCAGTTTGGTGGTAAAATTCTGAAAATTGGCATGTCCAATTGAAATGGGCAAACATAATTTTTTGAGGTGAACGCGTCTTGGATCTTGCCCATTTGGGGGGCGGAGCTTGATTTTTCAAAAAGGGGAGTGCAAAAAAAGAAAACTCAGAAAACTGTATTTTACATTCACTTTGTAAATTCTTACATTCTAACGTGTTATTTTCACCCTTTTGCGGGCGTGGCCTAAATATGTAAAGAGGCGGTACATTAGAGCAGCTTGATTCAAACGAGGGAAAATCATCATTTTTGCTGGTAAAAACACAACTTTTCTATCGGTTAACTATGTTTACCATACACTGTAAAGATAAGTTTTAAACGGTTGCAAGACTAATTGTTGCCCTTTTGTTCACTCACCCTGTATACTTACAATGGCGGCATTTCCTAATTGTGCATGTATTATAAACACTATGGGGATCACAAGGAGAGGGAGGGGAATTAGGGGCGGCCCAATGAAGGATTTCTTGAAAGTGCTCTTCTAATATGTTTAATATATATATATATATATAGGCATATAAACAAAAAAATGTGCACAGAATATACGTCCATTCAGGCGCGGTTCTAGAACCAATATTTTGTGTGGGGGGGGGGGGGGGGGTGGGGGGGGGCTAGCACGGTGGATCCAAACTTTTTCAGGGAGGCGTGCTGAAATGTTGACCGGTTATTTTTTCCAGACACTTATAGGCCTCCGAAAATCAATAGGTGGGGAGGGGGGGGGTGTTCATGCCATATTTTCAATGGGGAGCGCCAATAAAATCCTAAAATCATTCACGCTATATTAACTAATGTACCCTTGTCACAGCCGCTATTTCTTCTTTAGGGGGAGACCGTTCGCATGTACATCACAATCCTTCTTTATGCTAATGCAATTTTTTTTTTTTACGGAATTTATTGGGGGGGGGGCTAGACAAAATTTGGGGGGGCTACAGCCCCCATAGCCCCCCCCCCCCCCCCCCGTAGAACCCGCGCCTGCGTGCATTCCTTGCAGTGTGTACTGTTGGATTTATATTAGATGGATGGTGGGACTTGGGGGAGTAATGTGTTACTGATTGAAAAGGAGGAATAATGTTGGGGTTTTTTGAGAAATTATGTAACTTCTTAAATAATGCGTTAGCAATGTCCAGTTTGCTGACGTCACGATCCTAAAACCTCACGAAGTCATTATGTTTTTCTATATAATATCTAAGGGTACGTTTGGTAAAATTTGGATGAATGGTTTTTAAAATTAAAAATAGTCTAACTTTCTTGGACGTGCTAGGGGGTGCCCTTTCAGGCGTTTTTATGCCCCGCGGCGAAGCCGAAGGGGCATACTGTTTCCGCCTTGTCCTTCCGTGGGTGGGTGGGTGTGTGAGTTTGTCTTACATTCCCTATGTGGACTTGTGAACAAAAGATGTCCACATAATGCAGGTTGTGTTAACGTTATGTGGACTAAGCTGTGTCCACATAACGTTTTGCACCTTTCTGGAAAACAGGTTTAGAGGCATTTTTGGGTTAGGTTTATCCGTAGCAGAATGAAGAGAAACACTATAGGGAATCATAGAAAAAAAATTGGGTTGAAAGAGTTTTCACAGTTTAAGTAAAGTTAGTTTTTGTACCGAGTTTTCTTAACTACACGAAAACAAAAGAATGTCCACACAAGGTATGTAACGTAAACCTGGGTGTGTGTGTGTGTCCGGACAAATCTTGTCAGCGGGATAACTTGAGAAATACTTAAACATATGAACTTCAAATTTGGTTCGTGTATTGTTCTTGGTAATCCTAAGAAGCCTATTGCATTTGGGACCGAAAGGTCAAGGGTCAATGTCACAGTGGCTGAAACAATAGAAATTTTGTCAGCGCGATAACTTGAGAAATACTTTACATATGAACTTCAAATTTAGTTTGTGGATTGTCCTTGGCAATCCTAAGAAGCCTTTTGCATTTGGGGCCAAAAGGTCAAGGGTCAAGGTGGCTAAAACAAAAGAAATTTTGTCAGCGCGATAACTTGAGAAATACTTTACATGTGAACTTCAATTTGGTTTGTGGATCGTTCTTGGTCATAGGCCTATCGCATTGGGGGTCGAAAGGTCAAGGGTCAAGCTCACAGTGGCTAAAACAATAGAAATCTTGTATTTATTCTGAGATCATAGGGTTTAGGGATTAATTCATATAAAACCTACACGAACGTGTTGCTTAATTTTCATTCATACAGATGCGAGTAAATGCTTCAAAATTGGAAGTACCAGTAAAAGCAGATGCCATGTTTTATTCATACGAACATGGTATCATTTGTACTTTATGAACTTTGTTAATATTAATTTTTCGCGATTAACATATAATAAATGCTGTAGCTTTTGCGCAGAATTATTTGCTTTATAATTTCAAGGTTGCCCCAACCCAGCCTTGTGAATGACAAGTGCATATTTGAAATCTGAAGCATTTACTCCTTTATATTCATACGAAACGTACAGATGGGAGTAATGCAAATGCCAGTTTTTATTCATACGAACTACCGTATGGTATTATTTGTACTTTTTCGCGATTAACATTAATAAATGCAGTAATTTTTGCGCATAATTATGTGCTTTTATATTTTCAAGGTAGCCCCAACCCAACCTTGAAATATGACAAGTACATATTTAAAATTTGTAGCATTTACTCCTTTTTATTCATAAGAAACGAAGTAAACGCTTATAGTGTAGCAAAAGCATAAAGGTAAAAGTAATTATTTTCAGAATTTAGCAAACGGTTTTTAGTAAAAGTGTTTGCTTAATTTTCATTCATACAGATGCGAGTAAATGCTTCAAAATGGTAGCAAAAGCAAATGCCATGTTTTATTCATACGAACATGGTATCATTTGTACTTTATGAACTTTAATAAATGCATTAATTTTTGCCCAGAAGTATTTTACTTTATAATTTCAAGGTTGCCCCAACCCAGTCTTGTAAATGACAAGTGCATATTTGAAATCTGAAGCATTTACTCCTTTATATTCATACGAAACGAAGTAAACGATAAATAATTTTTTTCTGGTAATGAAACCAAGGATCCTCAAAAGTGCATGCCCCATGCACTGTAGCTCGCAAACCCCGAAAAAAAAACGTAGAGAGAAGACAATGAGAAGAAATTACAGTTTTAGAGGTGGGAGGAAAACCCCAGAAGAATAGTCTGGGGAAAACCCACGGAATCGAATCAGGTAGGGACTGAAACCCAATCCACATGTAGACCATGGGTGCCGATGCACAGCGCATTGTGCACGTAAACGGCATTGCGTTCGTCGCGTTTGATGCGCTTTTTTGTATCTGTCCTCCAGCACGTGACCCTCCCCGGTGCCGCTTTCCGTTTCGGTTATGATAGTTTTATTTTCCGCAAACTTATAAACATGTAAAGCTTTACATTTTGCAGGCCATTTACTCAAGAGCAAATGGTTTTTAGTAAAAGTGTTTGCTTAATTTTCATTCATACTGATGCGAGTAAATGCTTCGAAAGTGGTAGAAAAAGCAAATGCCATGCTTTATTCATACAAACATATGGTATCATTTGTACTTTATGAACTTTAATAAATGCAGTAGTTTTTGCGCAGAATTATTTTGCTTTATAATTTCAAGGTTGCCCCAACCCAGCCTTGTAAATGACAAGTGCATATTTGAAATCTGAAGCATTTACTCCTTTTTATTCATACAAAACGAAGAAAACTGTTATTAGGCCAAAAAAGGCTCTGGTTTCTGGTATGCGCGCGCGTCGCCATAGCCATGCGCGTCGGCAATGTAAGATGATGTCTTTCAATGTAAGATGATGTCTCAAACCACCAAACTCACTGGTTCGACTGGAATCCTGCTGCTGCACAATTTTAACGTGTTATTTCTCATAAAGTTATTTCTCATGTCTAAGTTTATTTCAAGCATGAAGAACAAAGGAAAATGGATGTTAAATACAGTTTTTCTGAGTTTTTTATTTTTTGCACTCCCCTTTTTGAAAAATCAAGCTCCGCCCCCCGAAATTGTGCAAGATCCAAGATGTGTTCACCTCTTAAAATTATTTTCAGCCCATTTTAACTAGACCTGCCAATTTTCAGGATTTTACTACCAAACCGAATAATGTTTTCTATATTAGAACCAAACTGCTAATATACCGCCTCTTTTGTACATTTAGGCCACGCCCACAAAATGGGTGGAAATTAACTGGTGTTCGAAAGCTAGAATGTTATATTTTATGTTTAAGTTTATTTCAAACCATAGAAAAACAAGGAAAACTGATGTTAAATACAGTTTTCATGAGTTTGTATTGTTTGCACCCCCTTTTAAAAAAAATCAAGCTCCGCCCCCAAAATGGGCAAGATCCAGGATGGGTCCCGATCTTAAAATGAATTCTAGCCCATTGGGACCCCACCAGCCAAATTTCATGCTTTTACCACAAAGTGCACGATTTGGGCAAAAATGGACATAAGCAGCTCCACTATATAACCAGTATTGACGTTTCAGCATCGATACTGACGACGATATTTTTTTACTGACATGAAGTTAAGAATTTACTTCTTCCGTTACTAACATTTCAATCATTCTGAGCATGTTTTCTGAGAAACACAACGTACAAAAGGCCATGTTTTGGGGGGTTCACGAAGAATTATTCTTCTTTTCTTCAGTGCTACGCAGTTCCGCTTCATTGCACGTGTCATTTGCCAGGCGCGGCTGGCCCAGTTATCGCACCTGTCGAATCAACCCGGGTGAGCTAAACGAACGCACTCTTTGGAAAAAAACATTGCCGGTGTCATACAGGCCTTTCCTTTTTGTTTGTAAACATTGGCGCCATTTTGTATGGGCTGCCGTAAAGCGCATAAATTGAAGCCGTGGTTGGCAACATATTTTTCCAAAAAAAGTCCTCATAACGCCATCAACACATAGTACAAAGGCATATGTGGGAATTATTTTGTGTAGCGTTGTTTATACCCGTGTCAAGCACACACCGGCGAACTCTACCCATGATTCGACTTGAAAGTTAAACATTTATATAAACTTGAACTAACGGAATGAAGAAATTTGCTGTACTCGGAGCCACTGGGGAAACAGGGCAACAGCTTCTAAAGCTGGCGTTAGGGGAAGGACATGAAGTAGTGGCTTTATGCAGAAATCCATCGGGACTGAACGTTACTCATGAAAAATTGAAGGTTAGTTTTTAACTTAAGTAGCTGGAGTTACCCAGCCCTAAATTTTATCATTGGGTTGTACAACCCAATGATAAAATTTAGATAGTGGATATTTTGCCGGAGGTAATGACGGCAAACTAACGTTTACTGAAGGTTTGCCGGCGGCAATCCATATCAACAGAGGGCGCTGTACTCTTTAAGATAGGGCTGAATTATAAGATGTATTAAATTCCCACTGAAAGTTGTGTAGCACGTTTGTGTAGTGGTTAAGCAAAGGCTCTAGTAAGCAGGATGACTCGGGTTCGATTCCGATCGCAGCACATTTTAAAGTTTTTTTTCTCATTTCCAAATAAATAGGAATATTCTTCTTTATTATTTTAACATGTCTCAAACATTTTTTTGCAGAGTATTACATTTTCTTTTTCAGATTTGTGGCTCTGGAGGAATTTTTTTTAAAAGGGAAATAAAGTCCGAAATTATAAAATGGTCTGAATCCATCTTGTGAATACGAGGTTACAACGATAATTTTGGCATGGAGCCAGACTAAAATTTGTCACCGGAAAATGTTTAAGTACAAAAAACCAGTAACTGCGCATGTTCAGTGCATATCCGGCAAACTAACGTATACTAAAGGTTTGCCGTCTCCGGCAAAATATACACTGCCTAAAATTTAGGGCTGGGTAACTCCAGCTAGTTTTTAAATTTAAGCGGGAAGTCCAGTGTTTGTATTCATTCCTCCAATATGTAAGAGCGCCGAAAAAAATTACTGGGCCAACACTCACCTGAAGAATACCAAAAGTTGTAAATCTGATGAAGAAAGTACACCATTTAAAGAGTGCAAAATTTCTTAGTTAATACTTAACAACCTGCAGTGATTCCACCAGGCGCGGTTCTACGGGGGGGCTAGGGGGGCTGTAGCCCCCCCCCCCAAATTTTGTCTAGCCCCCCCCCCCCCCCCCCCCCCCCCCCGCAAATAAATTCCGTAAAAAAAAAATTGCATTAGCAAAAACAAGGATTGTGATGTACATGCGAACGGTCTCCCCCTAAAGAAGAAATAGCCGTGACAAGGGTGCATTAGTCATGTTAGTTAACTGAATGATTTTAGGATTTTATTGGCGCTTCCCATTGAAAATATGGCATGTAAACTATAGTTGGGACCGCCAAATAAAAATATTGCGGTGGCACAACTACAGATGGTCCCCCCCATAGATAATTTCATTGGTCCCAAGTAAAGTCAGATGTGTATTAGAGTTGTAGGGAATGTTTTATAATCGTACAACAATGTACACTATAGTTGGGACCGCAAAATAAAAAGATTGGGATGGCCCAACTATAGATTCGCCCATCAATAGCTAATTTCAGTGGTCCCCGGTAAAGTCAGATGCGTATCAGAGCTGTAAGGAACATTTTATAGTTGTACATTAATGTAAACTATAGGCCTAGTTGGGACACCGCAAAATAAAAAGATCGGAGTGGCCCAACTATAGATGGGCCAGCCCAACAGTGGAACTTACAGTTGGGACCGTCCCAACTATAGTTGGGCCAGCCCAACTGTGGAACTACAGTTGGGACAGGCCCAACTATAGTTGGGACCGATGCGATAGTTGGGGCGTAACAACACTACTGACATGGGTTCTTGTGCACTGGTGGCAAATTAGCTTCAGGAAGTACGATGACGGTAAAGGCAAAATATCCACTGCCTATCAGTTATCATATGAAGAATTATTTCATTTTCAGGCTGTGCAAGCAGACGTGTTCTCCATTGATTCGTTGAAGCAACACTTCGTTGATTGCGATGCCATTTTCTCCTGTCTTGGAAGGTCGACCTCGTATACCAGACTAGAGTCCACTTTCTACTGTGATACCATGAAAGTAATCACTCAGGCTATGAGGGAGGCTGAAATCAAGCGGCTTGTTTGCATGACCTCATGGGCTACGGATTGTAAGTTCATATCAAGCTTTTTTTTAAATCATTGTCACGCATGGGCGGATCCCGGAATCGGGGGGAGGGGGGGGGAATAACATCATCAGATACCTCCAGGGGATACTGTTCTGATTGGATACTATCTAATGGGAAGTCAGACCCTAGTGGTGCTGTTCACCTGCCAGGTGGGAGGGGGGAGCTGAAGGGGGCAAGAGAAGAGGCTGGGTGGGGAGGGGGGGGGGGCTAATTCAGCTGAAGCAGAATGAGGAAAAAAATACACCCAAAATCATCACTTTATTACGGAAGCGTATATGACTATCTGAGTTACTGCGTTACTGAGATAAACTATCTTGGAAACATAGAGTCCCATCATAGAAATCACCTTTACAACTTGGAATGCAGCGATAGCACATCATGAAAACGCTGAATTCCATGAAAGCCTGTCATGGAAACAAGGAAATCTGTGGTAGGTTATCGTGGAAACGTGGCTTTTTTCGTGAAAGGCTATCATGAATAAGTGGAATTCCGTGATATGCTATCATGAATAAGTGGAATTCCGTGATATGCTATCGTGGAAACGCGGAATACTGTGATAGCCTATCACGAAAATGTGGAATACCGCAATAGGGTATCTTAGCAACATGGAATTTCGTAATGTTTTATCTCGGCAAAGCGAAATGCAATGATATCGTTAGCCTACACAAGATTCCCAATTTCCACGATAGCTCATCACGGAATTACATGCTTGCACGATAGCCTATCACCGAATTCCATGTTTCTGTGAAAAACTGATAGTATTCCACATAAATTTCCGTGATGAGCTATCACAGTATTCCACATTTCCATGACAGCCTATCCCAGAATTCCACATTTCTGTGATAGGCTATCACAGTATTCCACGTTACCACGATAACCTATCACGGAATTCCACATTTCTGTGATAGGCTATCACAGTATTCCACGTTACCACGATAACCTATCACGGAATTCCACATTTCTGTGATAGGCTATCACAGTATTCCACGTTACCACGATAACCTATCACGGAATTCCACATTTCTGTGATAGGCTATCACAGTATTCCACGTTACCACGATAACCTATCACGGAATTCTACATTTCTGTGATAGGCTATCACAGTATTCCACGTTACCACGATAGCCTTTCAGGAAATTCCATGTTTCCAAGATATGTTATATCAGTAACGCAGTAACACGGATGGTCATATACGTTTCCGTACTTTATACATGTACCTTTTTCCCTTCACTACATGCAAAAAACCCCATATGATCGAACACAAAAAAAATTGGCCAAAAAAAAAAATCCCTACCTACCTACCCTATTTTCGAATGCCATGTAATCGGAAGCAGAATTTTTCTTTTTGGCCAAAGTTACCAATAGCCGCGCGCATTCATAACGTACAGCAGGGAGCCAGGACACAGACGTTTGCGATGACATTTTGACCAGCGTTTGACTAGAGACGTTCGCACGTTGCTATCAGTGCGCAGGCGTGAGTTACGTTACACATCAACCCAAGGGCGGATCCAGGGGGGGGCCAAAGGGGGCCATGGCCCCCCCCAAAACGAAACCAATTTTTTTTTTTTTTAATGTGACATCGCAATAAAGGCAGGCAATGGGTACACCACCATCTTTTCCTCAAAAAAAATTGGTTAAAGTGGTCAGAAATTGCCTCAGATCGCACCACAGAGCATCTAGAATCCAAAAAATTTTCGGGGCCCTCACGGGCCCCGAACCCCACGCCGTAATTTTTGAGACCCACTTTTTTTGGGGGGACCAAATTTTTTTTTGGCCCCCCCAAAAATTGTGTTCTGGATCCGCCCTTGCATCAACCACTAGTCGACTAATGGTCCTTGCCTGAGCTTGCTCTAAGCTTCCAAATGAAAATATATTCAAATGGTAAGGTTTCATAATGCAAGTCATGAAGATGATTATTTCTTTACTCAGATCGGCGGAGTGAGCCTGGCACATTCCTCGTGGAACGGGTGTTGAAGCCGTTTATGCGACTGACTATCGGCAGAATCCTTGATGACATGCAACGAATGGAGAGATATCTGATTGACGATTGTCAGGACCTCAACTACACTATTGTCAGACCACCAGGCTTAACCAATGGACCACTCAGTGGTAAGAAATCTAACCTATCAACATCAAAATATCAACCCATTAGAATAAACCGATGGATTAAGCCAACAACAAAAAAGTCTCCAGATTCTGGTCTGCGCGCGTGTCGCTGTAGACATGCGCGTCGGCAAAATTAAACAGTTTTTTTTCAATGTAAGATGATGTCTCAAACTGCCAAACTCACTGGTTTGACTGGAATCCTGCTGCTGGGGGGGGGGGGGGGGCCTTAGCGCAATATGTAAGTGAGCAGACTAACGACCAGCCTGGCAGCACAAGCACGATGTTGATGTCGCTGTATAGTGTATGGGCTAACGTTACTACTGATTTCTCTGTTTTTTGTCTTGACTATCCAAATTTCCTGAAGTATGTTCATGTATGTTATTGCGTTACTGAGGTCACCTCAAGCTCCACTCTGAAGGATAGTTTTGAGAGTTTTAAGGGGATAGAAGCGTCATCTGCAACAAGTAAGGGGAAAAAAATAAGAAAACTTGCGTCACCGCACCGCTCCATACCAGAAACCGAAGACTTTTTTGTGCCTTAAGGATGTGACCTTGCATTTAATCACTTTAATTTTGTACATGTTTAGCAAATATTTTAAGAACCATTTCAACGTTTAGCCATTCACAAAGGCTGACACACGCTCATTACTAAGCAGACCGGCGCCATCACTCATTGACATGATAAATCAACAAAAAGTTAACTACGTGTGCCTCAAATGTGATTGAAGTGCTTCAAAGGTTTTGTGAATGAAATATAGGTTTGAAAACATCATTAAGTCTTTGTTCTAAGTAGGTTTAACTCAAACAAGCATCGAGTGAACGTACATGTAGGTCCCTTTTTTAAAATTTTGGGTTTCGTTGAAACGTTTTTGGAAATTTGTAAAAGAATTTAGAATCGTTTTTATTTAAACATTTAAACATGTTAATGTCACATCCTTAAGTAGTATCTAGTTAACATGTGTCAACTAACAGTAAATGTTGCAGAAGTTCTTGTACAGCAAACCAGTACTCTTTATAATGTCCATGTACTATGCAAAGCTGTTTGCCTAAGGCCAAAAAAAAAAAGTCTCCGGTTTCTGGTATGCGCGCACGTCGCCGTAGCCATGCGCGTCGGCAAAATGAAAAAGGTTTTTTTTCAATACAAGATGATATCTAAAAACCGCCAAACTCACTGGTTTGACTGGAATCCTGCTGCTGCACAATTTTAACGTGTTTTTAGATGGGGTTATGATCGAGAATAAGCTTTATGTGGCCTCTCTGTTCTCCCATATATTTGCACTAAGTTAGTCGGGCACCATTTGCAGTCATCAGCCGACATTCGAAGCAAAAAAAAAAAAAACAGGTAAAAAAAAAAAAAAGGCGCGTCGCCGCACCACTTTTGGGGCAAGCTCCATACCAGAAACCGGAGACTTTTTTTTTTGGTCTAACCTAAACAAAGATTGTTCAAATCCAGTTCGTAGGTGTGACGTCATCTCAATACTAACGAACCGGATATCGTGCTATGCTACACCGTGCTATGCACGGTTTAGCAAAGCACGAATGGAACCGGAAGTTAACGCATTTGAGCGTAGGGACTGAAAACCCAATCCACATATTGGCGCAGGCGGGATTCGAACCCGGGTCGCAGCGGTGGATGGCGAGGAAAGTACCGCTACGCCAACCTGACTCCCCAAAACAAAGGATACCCAGTGCCTGAATTCTTCAAAATTGTCAGACAGTCCTGCCTAAAAAAGATGCATTCATCCTCAATCCTCCAAAATCCTCAACCTCTACAAACACCGTTCATCCTCAATCCTCCAAAGTCCTCATGTTTATCAAACACTATATGGGCGTGAGTTAACAGTGGTGCGCGCATGTGTATGACGCTTTTACTAACGAACCGGATATCCAATGCCATCATGTTTAATAGTTATTTGGGCTTATTTTCTGCAGGTGCAGCAGTGGAATGTGAGCAGGAGGGGCAATATGTGTATTCAGTCTCCTGGAGGCGCATCTGGATGTCTCGTGCTGACGTGGCCAACTTCATGCTGTCCACACTCAACTCTGCTGATCATGACCAGAAAACAGTCGCCATAGCTGTACTGTAAGGAGTACAAATGTGGCGACTGAATAGAGTCTAGTCTCTGTGACAATCTACTACACAGTGGTAGTGGTTTGACCAATACAGGCTCCAACTTAATCAGCCTTGAATCCAGGGGCCCGTGATCGTTCCTTACACTAACCCCTGGCTGTGATGATGACGTAAATGACGCTGAATGGCTATTCACAGCGTACTGCGCGGGCATTTCGAAGATTGCACGCTGGGCGCGCCCGTAATGCGCTCGCACTCGCGTGCTTAGCTTTGCACGTAACGTCACGTACGAAAAAAAAATTATGATTCAAAAGTCGCGATGCCTGTACGATATGGATTATGTCAGCCACGTTTTTCGCTAAAAAAAACCCTGTATCTGTGGTTGTAAAGGCACGAAAGGGGTACGTACATTTAATACAAATCTTTGCTAATTAACACAACGTCCAAACGTTGTGTTTGAAAGGATTGATTCTTCAAAATCACAACTTTTAACATTTTAAAGATGGCGTCGGTACGTAAAACAGATAAACTGCAGCCCTAATTATAATATACCGTATTTCGGTATATTTAAATTACACAATTCCAGGGGTTATGATCGCGCAAGGCATGATGGGAAACAACATGGTGCTGCAAGATCGTACCCACGGGGCACGAGGTTGTGACCTTACAGGCTCTAACATTTTAACTTTCTGAAATTAGACTTGATTCAAGTCTGGCCCAGTTCTTCTGAAGGTCGTTACCTCAAAATAGCTGAACAATAGAGGACAATAGGGTCCCCAATTCCCGAGAGGTCCCCAATTTGGATTTGTGTACAAAACATATGGGAGGTCTTTCTAATTGCAGGCAAATACAAACTTGTATGTGCATGCTTCAAGGCACCACAGTTTGTAACAGCGCCCTCTATTGAGCTGAAGCAGCTCAAAATTGCAGATATGTTTTACCATTATAAAAGGGAATATACAACATTTGCTAGCATCAAAAAAGAAAACTACTAAATTATTATGAAATACCTTAGTGGACTGTTAGTGAATGACAGTCTTAAGCATCCTGTAAAATTATGACACCTGATGCCTTTGCTGTCATTTTTAAGAAAAGTGGTATTTTTGTATCAATTTCCAATGCTGGTCGGCTGACCAGTGTTGGAAAAACTGGCTTTTTAAAATACTGCCCCCAATTTACCATATTGAGTTAGTCCGCAGTTTGTTTGCAATCAATTACACACCCATGATGAACGGGTAGAAGCCAGCGAGACTGGTTCCCTGACCGTACAATTCCCTGACTTCAATAAGTTGCTCTGTTCATCTTCAGTGGGGTCAGGGAACCAGACTATAGGAACATGATTGTTTTTCTTGGTTTTTCCAGCATCTACGATCACAAAACTTCAAACAAGTCAGTGTAACAGTATTTGATACAAAATACTAACCCCCCCCCCCAAACCCATCCATTTCTGAAAATTACAGCAAAAGCAAATGTTGTTTATTCCCTTTAATTCCACATTGTAGCAGCTTGTTGATCACATACAAAATTATCATGGGGCCAACTTAAAAATGAAAACTAGCAGAGATGAATTTACAAGAGAGTAGTAGTGTAAGTTTCATTTCCCACCATTCATGATTTTCTTGTTTATTTTACAACTTCGTGGTTCTAAAGTATAGATATTATATGTATACAATGAAAATAGCCACCATAGATCTTTCAATAGCGGTTCAAGGTTTTTTAGTTTCAAATTTGCTATTTTTCTTCTTGCCAGAGACTACAGCAGATCCAATCAGATATGATGGAGTGTAGTTTCCAGTTTTCTTAGAAGTCTTTTAAGCTTATTTTGACCTTTCTTTGTTTACACTGAGCGATTTGCATAAAGTCTACTTATTTGCATGCGACCTTTAATGCTCTGCACCTTTGACCCGAAGAGGTGATTTGCATACGAAGCGTACTTTCGCAAAGGATTATATGGGGCGCTTTTGTACATGTGCTGGCTGAAAATTGGAGTAGTACAAGATGCATGTCTGAAACCGTCTTTTACCTAACGTTTACGCTATCGCTAAGACTTGAAAGAATCCTACGATAATGGAGATAAGATTTGTAGTTCTTTACTTGAAGATCTGTTGTGTTGATTAAATGTTAGTTTCCATCAATCTGATGAATCTCCTGTGGAACTGTGATTACTGACTTGAGGAATTATTGATACCGATCGGGTCTGATCGTGTGAAACAAGTGAAACTGTGAGTAAACTAAAGAATTGATAGCGGCGTTTGAGTGTGAAAGACATGAAACTATAGACGTACAAAGTGAACATTACATGGAGATTAATAATATACAAATTATTATTCATATTTTTTATTTTCGGATAATAGTGTAATATTGATCAGTTGTAAAGCTGTAGTGCAGAATATCTGGCTTAGCATTGTACTTTTAACAATACATGTACATTATGTGGATTACCACCTCTAAAATGAAATATTTTAATTGAAATAAAATGGAATAAGAATATTTATAAGTTTCAATAGATAAAAAAAGACAAAGTTCTGAAGGTATTGAAGTATGTTACTCTTAACTTAGAAGCAACAGTGTACTTTTTATCTATAAAGATTAAAGATGCACAGCTATTTTCAAGTGTCTCCGAAAGTTCTTGTTTGGCTATTTTTCTAGCAATGTAAACTGGTATTCTCTTTGAATGAGACATCAAACCGAAACATATTGACTTATCTTTATAACTGGAAAAGGCCATGTAAAAAAATAAACCAGTTTCGCATTCCCGCTGACTTCCCTTTTTCCCCCTGGGTGCCTCTTCTTTTCTCCGCATACTTTTGTTTTCATAAATTTTGTATATTGTCAATACATGTAGTTGGTATTTTTGCCCCCAACAAAATTGTAGCCATGTAAAAATTGGAACTATGTAGAAAGGGTTATGGACACAATTTTGTATCATTACATAGTGCATAAAATTGACAAAATGTGCGGGTTTTTTTTGGGGGGGGGGTTTAAGTGATGTTGCCAAAAAGGCAGCACCATGTACACCACCCTCTTTTCATTAAGAACAAAATAGTTGGTTTAAGTGGTAAGAAATTGCCTCACACTGCACCACCAAGGATCTAGCATCCAAACAAACTTCCGGGGCCCTTAAGCTTGCCCCTCAATAAAAGTCAAATTATTTAAGCGAACAAAATCATATTTTGTTGTACAGCACGGACACTACATCTTAAAGGGAATATACAACATTTGCAAACATCGAAAAATAAAATTACCAAATTTTTACGAAATACCTTAATAGGATGTTGGTAAATGACAGTCTAAAGCATCCTGTAAAATTATGGCACCTGGTATACTGTCATTTTCAAGAAAAGTGGTATTTTTGTATCAATTTCCAACGCTGATCGGCCGATCAGCGTTGGAAACAACTGGCTTTTTTTCAAATACTTGCCCCAATTGACCATTGCACTTGTTTGCAATCGATTACAAATCTATGAACGGGTACGAGCCAGCTAGACTGGTTCCCTGACCTTACAATTCCTGAATGTATGTAAACTGCTCTGTTTCTTCTTATATGGAGTCAGGGAACCAGACTACAGGAAAATGATCGTTTTTCTTGGTTTTTATAGCATTTTCGAACCCAAAACCTCCAAAAAGTCAGTGTAACTATATTTGCTTTATATTTCCAACCCCCCAATTCCATCCATTTCTGAAAATTACAGCAAAAGCAAATGATGTATATTCCCTTTAAAGCATGCTTTAAGCTACAAAGTGTTTATGTGATTCCGTTGGGTGAAATTAGACGTGAAATGGCAGCTTCGAGCTGTATGTACTCCTCAGGGAGCTGAGATGGTATTTGGAATGTTTCGTTGGCCCAATGAGCAGGGTAATAATGATGTAGCGCGTTGAACACCAATACTGCAGGATATGTGCACTTTATAAATACACATTATTGGCTTTTCCGCAAAGTTGCGGAAAAGCCTTTGTTTTTGTTCTCATTTTTTTTTTTTTTTTTGGCTTCTTCTTTTTGTCGCCTAAATCCCATAGACTTTGTGCACGTTTTTTCTCAACGCCACTTTTGGCATTAATATTTGTCATACATCATTCAAAGTTAGCATAAGCATAGCCCCTGTAGCAAAGATGTGTCCCGAAGATTGACGTCATGGTGACGTCATCGACTAATTTATTATAGATTTTTGAATATTTAATTTTTCCCATAGACTTTGTACACAAAAATTAAAAAATAATTGTCGATTTTCAAAGGGCATTTTTGACTCTTTGCCAGTAATTCATTTACACCAATCTTTGTCCAAGCAAAGACCCTAATTAAAACAACATTGTGGAATGATGACGTTATGATGACGTCATCCTGTGTTTATTTATAGGCAATTAAATTGTGTCACTTTTAATGTTTAAAAATGCATAAGAAATCAACCGTACGCGTCCGCAGCATTCTGTTGCCGGCAAGTGGTAGAGCAGGTTAAGGTCTTCATTTCATTCAGTGTGCGTGCAATCACGTGACCCCCGCTTCCGGTCGAAAAAGGCCCAAACCGGAAGTGGCTTATTATTTAAAAATGGTAATAGAAATGAACTTGCTTTTAACGGTGTAAGTCTCTTGGCCGATAGAATTCTTCAAATCATCTACCGATGACGTCATGCAATCTTCGAGCGCCCTCTAGCGACAGGTTGAAAATTAGCAAAAATGTATTTTGAATAGATGTCTGTGGCGAAGTTTCTCGGAATCGCCTAAATTTTGGTGTATATAATGACCTTGACCCACTTAAGACGTGTGCGAAGTTTTAGGCGAATGACGTCATCAGACCGGAAGTTATAATAAAAAGACCCTTTTTCATTTGAAAATTCCTGAAAAATCAACCATGGCAGTTTTTATATTTGTTTTTACTTTAATTGTCGAAGGAAGGGTAGGTCTAAACCATTTCAAAGTTTCGAGGCGATAAGCGAACTCGAACATACCCTGCGCACGCTTAAAACTTCACGTTGACAATACCTCTGCTTCAAAACATGCACAGGACAGGACGTCCACAATGTACATGTACATGTACATGCACGTACGTTGTACATAGGCACATACATCGTATGTCAGTCAGCCTGCAGCGCACGTGTTGCTGAGGTCAAATCCTGTCCACAGTGACCGTTTTAGCCGACTTTCGGCTAACTTTGACAGATTTTAAGTTCATGCATGCGCATAGACAGGGACGTATTATATCACTTTTGGCATTAATCTTTGTCAGACATCATTGAAAGTTGGCATAAGCATAGTCCCTATAGCAAAGATGTGTCCCGAAGAGTGACGTCATGATGACGTCATCAAGTGATTTATTATGGATTTATGAATAATTAATTTTTCTCATAGACTTTGTACCCAGCTTTCTCCACAAGTCTTTCCCTATACAACACTGATATATCTTACTGAGTAGTTCTGAACTTCGGCTGAGAATTACTATGAGAAGGAAAAAGAAATCGTATTTTTTTGACGCCTGTCATTTGATTCAAAATATTCCCAAGATTTAGAAAAGCAAGTAATATTTTATAAAAATGTTTCAGTTTAGGAAAATCACTAATTTAAAGGTGCAGTTTTTCTGCTGTGGGATTGTTTAACCTATTGACTTTGTACACGTTTTCCATCCACCATTTTCATAACTTGGCGATCTGGAATCGTCATCAAAGTTACAGCCAAGAAAGACCCTCATACAAAGATTATGCCAAGACTATGACATCATGATGACGTCATCATCAAATGATTGATTATGGATTCATGAATAATTAATTTTTATCATAGACTTTGTACACAGCTTTCTCCACAAGTCTTTTCCTATACAACACTGATATATCTTACTGAGTAGTTCTGAACTTCGGCTGAGAATTACTATGAGAAGGAAAAAGAAATCGTATTTTTTTACGCCTGTCATTTGATTGAAAATATTCCCAAGAGTCAGAATATCAAGTAATATTTGATAAAAATGTTTCAGTTTAAAGGCAAATCACTAATTTAAAGGTGCAGTTTTTCTGCTATGGGATTTTTAACCTATTGACTTTGTACACGTTTTCCAGCCACCATTTTTATAACTTGGCGATCTGGAATCGTCATCAAAGTTACAGCCAAGAAAGACCCTCATAAAAAAATTCTGCCTAGACTATGACGTCACGATGACGTCCTCACCTAATTTTTTATTGATTTTTGAAAATTTACGTACATATTGTGAAGTCTTATATCTACAGAAATGTAAGTCCGATTGGGTTGAAACTTGGTATGTGGCTATACCAGGATGTGTTATAGATTAAAAATGAGGTGACGTCATGATGACGTCATCCTGAGATTTTAAATGAATATTTATTTGTTTGCACCTTTTAGCCATATCTCCCGAACGCAACATGCAAAATGCAAAATTCTTTCGACAGATTTTATGTTCATGAATATTCAGGGCATATTATTGATTAAAAAAAATCGTAATGCGGAAAAGCCCTATGTTCTGTTGCAAACAGACATAGACCTCTAGTTAAATTTCCGCACGTGCTAGCCAATAGCATGTACAGGGCGAGTCAAAAAAAGCGAAACCCAAAAGTCGGGACCATTGTTTTAGTGAAGTTCTGCATGTAGCACTTTCAAAATCCAGGATATGAAAGCCCAATTCATTAGCTTTCTCTTAGTACAAGAATCATTCAAATCACTCGTGTACTTTTCAAGTTACAGAATTTTAAAGTTCTGTCCATGGATCACAGGAAGGTAAGTGTTCTTTCAGCAAAACGAAAACAATTCACATATAGGGATGTATGTGAATTGTGTTCGTTTTGCTGAAAGTACCGTCACACTTTTTTTGTGATCAGTGGACAGAACTTGAAAACGGTGGTGTGTTTAAAATTCTGTAACTTGAAAAGTACACACTGGTTTGAATGATTCTTGTACTAAAAGAAAGCGTATGAATCGGGCTTTCATATCCTAGATTTTGAAAGTGCTACATGCAAAACTTCACTAAAAAATAGTCCCGACGTTTGGGTTTCACTTTTTTGACTCACCCTGTACAGATTAAAATATGCACATCTGTAATTCTACCTCTGGATTTAACACATGGTGAAACATTAGCACAGGGGGAAAAATACAGAAATAAATTGTGCTAATTACGATTCGAAAAGAGCACAATAATATGATTAATAATTAAGATCTTGACACGTCTCAATATTCCAGCCTATTTTCAGTGCACACCTCTATGCAAATAAAGGTCTGATAACATTTTACAAAAGTATTCTGCATAAACATGCATTTCTTGTCATTAAGATTTTTTTTTTTTTTAAAGCTAAAGCATAAAGGAATGCAGAAAGTTTTCATTGAAAGTTTAAGAAATCAGCAAATAACTGCATGCCAAATCAGAGATTTTTTGCGAGAAAAAACTTCAGGAACCGTTTCATGAACACTTTTTAACTTCTGATAATTACTCATTTCGACATCATTTTTTGACATCGTTTGATGAAAGCTCGACATTAAAACAAACACCAATATCTTGCCGTCAGGTTATATACCACAAACTTAAAACACATTTTGAAGCTTTCATGCCAGTAGCCAAAACCAGATTAATGTGTAAGCATACAAAACAATTGAAAGGTTTTAGTCATTATCCAATCATTAATACAAATTGCTGCAAACAACAGCCTTTCTAATGCTCCCTTTACCCAAACAGCATGCCCCAGATTCGGGACATTTTACATGGTGTATGTACAGTAAACAATGAATTTCAGAATGCAAACGCCGTCTTTTTAACTGTTGTCCACTTTTGAGGCGCCGATATAGCGGTGAAAGTAAAATCCAAGTTTCTGCTAGCAGAAAATTAAGGTTTTTTTTTTTTTTTTAACTGGCGTTTTGACTTCTAAATCTTAATTTCCACAAGCAGGAAATGGGAAAACGGGGTTGCCGTCTACTTTTATTTTTTTCAAGTAAGAATTTGATATTTTTAGTTGTCCACTTTTGAGGCACCGAGAAAGTCATCAAAACTAAAATCCAAATTTCTGCCAGCAGAAAATTTAGTACATGTATTTTAAAAACCGATGTTGCAAAAATAGCAAAATATACGGTTGTGCACTTTTGACGCTCTATAACAGAACATTAAAACTAACAGTGAAATAGAATGGTCAATGTTTAAAATCGCCCTCTCAAAGCGAAGAAGTCTTGCACACGAATTTGAATGAACATAAAAGAAAGGTGCTGCTCAATCACTTAATTGATTGAACTGAAATGGAGTCGAATGCTCTGGTAGCGAAAATGAAACGCGTGTTCATAGCGATTCTCAAATTCAGACGAAAATGAATGACCGATTTTCAGAAGTGAATGAACATTTTATATTAAATCTATATTTCCCACATGGCTCTTCAGAAAAATGCAATTGCTTGAAATTTACAAATGAGCGCAGAAATTTATCTTAAAATACAGTATTACTTTACAAGTGAGTTTTATACAGTCACCACAATCAAGTTTACATTCGCTTGTTTCATCTTGCTTTAAGGCCAAAAATAAAAAAGTCTCCGGTTTCTGGTATGGAGCTTTCCCAAAAAATGGTGCGGCGACGCGGCTGGTTTTTTTTACCTGATTTTTTTGCTTCAAATGTGTGCTGATGACTGCAAATGGTGCCCGACTAAACTTAGTGCAAATATATGGGAGTCCATAGAGGCCACATAAAGCTTATTCTCGACCATAACCCAATCTAAAAACACGTTCAAATTGTGCAGCAGCAGGATTCCAGTCAAACCAGTGAGTTTGGCGGTTTTGAGACATCATCTTTCATTGAAAAAAAAAAACTTCATTTTGCCGACGCGCATGGCTACGGCGACGCGCGCGCATACCAGAAACCGGAGACTTTAGTTTTTTTGGCCTAAAGGAAACTTCGTCGTGTGCCCGGCAGAAGGGCATAAGTGTGCATATGCCCTTATGCAATGTAGCGTAATGACCAACATGTTCCCAGCAAAAGGTCATATGCAGAAAACTGCCTCAATTTTAATGAAATTATAACATTTTCGTCAGAAATTAATACAAGTTGTTCCTAAACTTATGATTCAAACGTGTGACAAATTTCAAATTCGTACGATTTATATTACGTGTGGGAGAACATTGGATACAACATGCACGCGAGGGAACAATGGAACCTTTCAATGCAATTTTCTTGAAAATGATTTTTGCGTCAGAACGCTCATATGCCCTTCTGCCGGGCACCCGACGACTTGTTCTTTACATTATTTCACCAAAGCACACGGTGGTTCGGCGCTCTGTAGTACCGCCCTCTCTTGACACAAATCACTTATGTCTCTCCTCAAAGTCCCACTTGAAGGAGAAATGTCCACGACGCACGGCTGAGAAACGATGTCGTCAAAGTCAAACTCGGTACAATTTCCCTCACTAATGTCCGCTTCTTTCTGCTCGAATTCCTGGGTGTTTTGCCTCTTAACTTTCGCATAGAAGGGCGATTTTTGACTCACTGATTCCTCCGGTCGTTCGGCATTTTCATCTGGGGAACTCTCCTGATATTCCACAACTTTGACGGCATCATCGAGATTGGTCAGAATTTGGCGGTCGTGGTCCGAATTTGAGTTAGAGGCGGGAGGCGAGTTTTTCTCACCGTGGACAGGATCGGTTTCCTCTCCGTCACTGTCAGCAACCGAGTCATAATCGTTCTCAAATACTCCCTCCTCACCAGCGACTCCTGTATTCTCGTTTGCGACATGTCCAGCCAAATCTTCGATATCTACTGTGCTCCGACTCTCGTTTTCAGCGCGAGTCGTTGCGTCATCTTCCCCGGTAGAACCGTTGGACATCAAGCTGTCTGTGTCGCTAGCTTCCTGTTCTTGATCAGTGTCGATCTCCGCATAGTCACCTTCGCTTACTGAAATAGCTGCAGACAGCCGTTCTAAGGGAACGGTTAGTTTCGGGTACTTTTGTGGCACTTTGGTTTTAATGAGTTGGTCAGTTTCTTTGGGTGGGTCTGTTTTAGTTTCGGATGTGGAAATGGTCGTTTGGTTGGTTGGGGTTGCATCGCTGGTTAAGAATGGAGGAATGCGAGTGATGAGGGAGTTAGGGTTACGGTAAGGGTCTGGGGTACAGGGAGTTCGTAGAACACCATCCCTGGGTGTTGCCGGGAGTGGTCGATGTAGACTGTTCGATCTCGCTAGAGCTCCAACAGCGGGCTCTCCCAGTGACTTCATGCTCCCAATTCGACGGAACGGTCTCTCGTCTGCAAATACAACATTAGGAGCTCTGTAACCACTGTCAGTAGGGCGAGCAGGGAGCGGTCGTTTCAGACTACCTCCCCGTGCATGGATGCGTTTAGAGTCCGGTGCCGGTGGGGAGGAGCGTGCAACGTCCGTTACAGCGTACGCGGGAACTAGTGACTCAGCCTCGGCACTGCTGCCTTCAAACTCGTGTGGTATGGCCATGGGAGTATGAGGCTGGGCGGAGCTTGACGGCACGGGTGGGGGAGGACTAGAACCGAAACTAAACTTGCGATTGCGAGAAGTCAGTTCACAGTCAGGAGTGATAGTTTCAGAGACTTCAATACCGTCAAATCCAGAGTCCTGATTCTCGCTACGGGAAATAGTCAAGTTTAGTCTCCCGACGTCCGTGGCCTCGTAGTAATTGTGTTCTAACGTATAGTACTCGGGCTGACTGTCAGGGTCTAAGTCTAACTCAAAGGTATCTACCGAACCACAGCCAGCAGGGTTCTTGAAACCTTTCAAGGTTCCAACACTGATGGCTGGTGAACCATTAACAATGCCATCTCCGTTAGCAACGAGGTCCAAGGGGACGCAGTCAGATGGAGGTCCCCCAGCACCATCTTTGGATTTAGCGGCGTCAGTGACTCGACGATTTGAAGCCCTCTGCCGGTTAAGAAAGACAGTCAGTAGAACGATGACAGTAGTGAGGAGAATCCCCACCACTGAAGCGCAGATTACGAATGGCGTAAAGAGCCCATTCCATCCATCATCTTGATTTGTTGATGCGTCTTGCTGATCAAGGAGAATGGGATAAGTGGGTGTAAGAGAAGAATCAATGGAACTGTGGGTGCCTGTTGGTACCATTCCAAGCGTGCTCTTGGAAGGAGTACTGTCTGTAGATCCTGGGGTACTGGTTCGAGTCCCATCTCCGGTAGGTTCGATGTGCAATGTCATGCTATCATTGCCTTTAAATCCAGACATGTGTTTGACGGCGCATTCTATGACGCTGCCATTGTGTGGCGCATTGACCGGTCCGATGGTCAACTCATCCCCGACTGTTGCCGCGTCCACACCGTTGATGCGCCAGCTGTATGATAGCGGTGTCAGGTCGTCATTTGCCACACACCTGTAGGTCAAAGTGTCTCCTAATTGCGGTTGAGCAACGGCTGTGTGAATGAGCACTGAGATGTACCGACGAAGAGGGTTCAGAAAACAGGTGCGACTTTGTTCTAAACACATGAATCGTACGTCGTAGTCGGCTTCAGTCAAAACGCGCGTAACCACGTTTCTTACTACAGGCGATCGCGTCGTGTTCCCCCTCAAAATCATCCCTCCGTACATCCACCATAAATGGCCGCTATAGTCGGGGTTGCGAGATTCACACACTAAATCTACCGTGTCTCCAACCATTGGCATACGGGACTTTGAGTCCACGTAACACCGAGGGTCGAATGGGGCAACTGTCAGTTCAGCGGCATGGGAAAATTTTCTCACGGTCAGGGTGGTGGACGAAGCGAATATTTGACACTTGTACGTGCCCACGTCGGAACTGGAGAAATTCCGTATTTGTAGGTTGAATTCTGCGAGAGCTGGATCACCAGTTATCGAGTACCGTTCTAGCTTGTCACTGTCCAGGGTGGATCGTTTAATATGCCGATTGTGACTGATGTATTGTCCCAAGGCGTTGTTCCACCAAGCCACGGTGGCTGTCTTTTGGTAGTTTTCCACGGAGCAGAGCAAGGTGGCCGTCTCACCGAGCTGAACGGCGGTATCCTCTGGCTCACTACGAAACGCATACTGGGCCTGGGTAAGTATGGGGAGACATCCACTCAGTGTTGTTAGCACTGAGAAGATGAAATATCCATAGTAAAACGATGTCATGGTGGTAAATGGTCTGCTCTCTCCTGCAGCAATGACTGTACTGACACTGACAAACGCTAATGTAACCTGCCTCGTACTTTATATATTGTACAGGTCCAGGTATGACTATCACATGGTTCGTTCCTAGATACACGATCCATGTACAAGATAAGCTTTGGTGAACACGTGGAATTCAACTCAGAAATATAAGAAGTACGATATCCATTCGTGGCAATATCGGTATGTGGTTCTCACGCAAAGGCAGGCTTAGGAATGACAGGCCGCTGGTCTCTTTTCTACATTTATGTCACGGTGGCGGCTAGGATCGTTTCTCACGGGCAATTGGTTTTCCCCACAGTGTTATTTCACAAGGTAATTCCATAAACACCAGCCGGAAGAGAGACACTGTTGCTAAAGTTCACAGTGTACTAAGACTAAGAGCGGGAAGAAGTCACCGTTATCCGGCCCAGTGTATCACATGGCGTGGTGATCACTTCCTATGCTATCCACTGTAGTTGGTTTTATTTTATCATGTCTGGTCTATCCCATAAATAGAACTTGAACCCCCATCCAACATGTACAACATTTTGTACCACAGCATTTACATGTACATGTACGTTATGTACAGCGCGTTAGCACTCTCCTTGGCGATAAGGAATTTTTAGTTTGTTGTCACAGTTAGTGAGTCAACCGGCGCCGGTTCACGGTTGATACGGCGGGAAAGCCCAACCAAAGATGCTCGAAGTACCGTGAATTAATAATTGGGCAGAGCTAAAAATATACAATCCAGACCACATATGCATTAGTAGATGCAGCAACTTTTGTCTTGACATCTTAATTAACTGCAAAGTCAATGTTTCTACTAAACGCGTGTAGAAATCCACAAGGCATCCTCGACAGCAGTACCACAAAATTCTCAATCGTATACACACGAATCTCGAAGTCTATGGTCCATGCATGTGGTTGAATTACAGTTTTCGTACAAACTGAAGTCTATAACTTACTATATTCACAAGTAGGGACCTGTGCAGTCGTGCATGAGTTCTTTTTGTGAAGTGTCTGATCTCTCGCCCTTCTGGAGGAAAACCTATCGGCAGATGTGCTCCACACCTTGGCCAATCTGCTTGGTGTACATGTATGTCCGACCATGGTCCGACTATAAACATCCCTCGTACCGTAAACTCGACATCCTCACTTCGCACGCTCACTTTTCACACTGGAAAACCTCTGGGCCGAACTGGTCGTAATTTCGATGCCATCTGTCGCATATTCCGTGCTCTGTGTTCAAGGACGACATAACCGGCCCGGTGGGGGTTGAGAAATTGGACACTTCCACCGAAAATCGGTTGCAACATAACAAGGGCCGTAACCACAGATGATATCGCGAGACAATCAAGAGACTGCAGTGGTACGCAGACTGGCAAAGCTTGGCTCATTAGCCGCTAGCTGGTGCGCATCATTACTTCCAGTGGATTTGCCTTGGCATGCGCGCATCACAAGGGCGTACAAGCTTTCTAGTGTTGGTGACTATTTCATGTCTAGTCTAAAGTGCGCTTATAGCTTGCACTGATATGCCAAAGTATATGAATTCTACTCTTGTCATTCAATGCAATGATAATTTATTCATTTGAAATAAATGGAAGCACGTTTAGATTCCTCTCAAATATTTTTAGTGATAAATTAATCACTACAAATATGCAGGTGAAACATAATTATGACCAAAAAAATAGGATGATGAATTGTATTGTAGTTTAGTGGGTTCTCGTGTTTCGTTTTTAAAAAGGAAGTCCAAAACAATGTGAATGAAATTAAAAGTCATATACAACATTTGCTTATGCTGTATTATTTTTTTTTAGAAATGAATGGATTTCAACGGGGGTTAGTATTTTATAGCAATAACGGTGCACTGACCGGTTTTAAAGTTTTCAAGTAGTGTTCATGGATGCTGGAAAAACCAAGAAAAAATGCTGTTCTTGTAGTCTGGTTCCCCTGATCGACCCAACTTCAGACGATTTTTTATAGACGTCGGGGAATTATCAGGTCACAGATCGGACTAGCTGGCTTCCACCCATTTCAAGGGGTAACCGAAAAAGTATTTGAAAAAAAAGTCAGCTTTTTTCCAACGATTGTCGGCCGACCATTCTTGGAAATTGATACCAAAAGTCCACTTTTTTTTAAAATGACACAAAATCGGGTGCAATGAGGATGCCTGAGGCTATATTATTCACTTAAAGTCAAGTAAGGTATTTCATAATAATTTGGTAGTTTTGATTTTTGCCTTTAAGTTTAATCAAGGGCGGATCCAGAAGACAATTGTTTGGGGGGCCCAAAACAATTTTGGTCTCCCTAAAAAGTGGGTCAAAAAAATTACGGCGTGGGGTTTGGGGCCCGCTTAAGGGCCCCGAATTTTTTTTGGATTCTAGATGCTCTGTGGTGCGATCTGAGGCAATTTCTGACCACTTTAACCAATGTTTTTTTGAGGAAAAGATGGTGGTGTACTCATTGCCTGCCTTTATTGCGATAAATAAAAAAAAAAAAAACATAAAAAAAAAAAAAATTGGTTTCGTTTTTGGGGGGCCATGACCCCCTTTGGCCCCCCCCCCCCTGGATCCGCCCTTGCCTTTAATTCCTGATCCAGAGTGATCAAAAAAGAATCAGCAAAACTGATTTGTATCAAAATCCAAATATTGCGACGTAGAACAGTCGTCTATCAGAACCCAATTCGAGGGGGGGGGGGGGCGGTCCACCCATTTCGGCTCCCAAATCAGCATTCCTTCAAGATGCTGTCATGAGTGGGCTAAGGTGAGTAATACAAATGACACGAGGTTTGTGTTTACCGTGTCACGAGGTCTTAGCGGTTTTTCTTGTATGTCATCGCGGAGATGATGGGGCTTTTTACGGCGCGTTTATAAGTGTTTTTAACAACGTACACATATGCTGGTACATAGTGTAAGCGTAGAACTTTGGCGCAATTGTACATGACGTGTTCTGACATCACTGTACATGTACTTTCGGTTTCCATTACTGCAGGCAAATCACTTGGACACCATAACTGTGGGGCTCAATGACTGAAAAGAAAAAAGCGGTGAATTTAGTGCGTTTTATCCTGCTAATCAAACAAACAAGAATGGTACGATGTTGGAGGTCTCATACATTAAGGGAATCAAGGTACCACTGTACCAGGCACAAAAAGTACATGTAATGCTTTTGGTAAACAAGTTTAAAACACATTACAGAAGACGCCCACGTAAACCACAACAAAATTAGATCAGAAGAGTTGAGACTATCGGGCACATTTGCCATTGCCCAGACAGGGTACACCCATTATGATTGCTGATCAATTTCAATGTTTTAAATGCGTGTAACTCCATGACAAACATTGCATGTGTACTGCAACAATATTTCTATGTATGCCCTATCATATGTAACGTAGTATAATCGTATTGTTAAAGGCCATGAACATTGAAATCGTTCAGTTTTTTTTTCTTCCCATGATGGTCTTTTTGCCTCGACCATTCCTTCCTCCATGCCTCGACTAGCGAGCAACATGGACTTGTCCTTGACCACGTGTCCATGGTAGTCACCTGTTAATACAATGATCGGCACATCAGCCGAGTACCAGATGGAAACCATACAACGGGTTACTCCACTCAACAGCGGTACCCATTTTTTTTTTTAAAGTGACGTCGCAAAAAAGGCAGCCAATGTGTCAACACCATCTCTTGCAAAACAAATATGGTAACTTAAAGTGGTCAGAAATTGCCTCAGATCGCACCACAGATTATCTAAAATCCAAAAAGATTTCAAGGCCGTAAATTTTTGCATCAACTTTTTTGGGGGGAACAAAATTTGTCCCCCCCCAAAAAAACCAATGGTGTAGTGGATCCGCCATTGAGTGCACTCTACTACTTTGAGGCTGTACACACAGGATTCTGCTTGCTCGTGATACTACGTTCATTAGTAGACTAGCCATTACGGCAAGAGCAAAACCATTTTTCAATTTTTTTTAAATGTTCTTAGCTAATTATAAGTCCGTCAAATGTCGAATATCTTCAACTCAACAGGCGTGCAGAATTAACCATGGTATTAAAAAAGTCAAAAGTCGAAACTGAAGTCACATTTTATCGACTTCGGTTGGGCAGAAATTAGCATGAAATTTATCAAAATGACGGAAAAGTGGAAAGCATGAAATTTGGCGGGAAAGTACAACCGCATAGACAGTAATAGATATCCGGCCACATCACTCAAGGCAACCGGCGCGGAAATCAGTAACTTCCAAACAATTGCGCTCGTTATCAGGGTGAGACATCCCCACTCGCTATCGCCATACAATTATTCCTGGACAAGAGAGTAGAGAGAGGAAAGAAATGATTTCCATCGCAGAGGTGTGACAATATTACTGTGATGTACTGTGATGTTTCGTTTTATAATAATCAACGGAATTATATTGCTGATTCATTTGCAGTAGGCCTACTTCCCATAATGAATTATGACGACAAACCTCTCTATTAGGAATTTTTAAGGCTGTTGGCTGATAAGCACGCGCGCACTAATTAAAAACAGCGTTTTCTGCTCCAGATGAAAATACCCATGTAAAGTTTATTTTTAAAAATGTACAGTTTTTGCAAGCTTCCGAAGGATGGTCCGTTATGGATTTGGACTTCTTTGGACGGAGACTATTCACTTTATTGCAAGCTCAAGCCGTCTAAAGTTCACAATAACAATCAAAAACGAAAATCGAGACAATGTCTGGACATGTAATCATGGAAAGTACCCTGTAATTCGTACAGACGAGCTAAGATAAGAACTGCTGAATAAGAACTGCGGTTAATAAATCGAAATGCTATTGTCTGGCTAGACATTTCCGTTGTCCGGAGACTTGCCCGATGAGATTACCGAGCGTGCGGAGGGACAAGACGCCCCGGCAAAGGCGCGTTATCGTCCCCGGCGACCTAGAATCATAAACCCGCTGACATCAATCGCGCGCCTTGGGGTCAAAATGCTCCTTAATAAATTGACCACAGCAGAATGCGGTCACTTCATTTATAGCTGACCGCATTTTGCTCTTTATAGGTGGGAGACCCAAATGGTCAGCACAAGGGGACTTATTTATAATCAGACCGGATGTGTCGGAAGTAAACACATCGAAGATAAAACTTTAAAAGCATCTATTGTTAATAAATTTGTGAATCTGCACCCAAGTCTGATTACAAAACAAACATAACAATAAGAGAACAATTATAATTTGTGGGATTGAATCGGCAATGTCCATTGTCTATAGGGTATTTTTGTTCACACGTATAAAAAAATTAGGCCGCAAATTACGTAACTCTTATTATGTGCATTGAATTTCGTGAGTTCTGGATTTGAGTCCCGCTCGGGATTCAATTTAATTGATGCGTTTGCAACAGCACCGGTAACACAATGTTTAATGAAATTGTGCAATTGCATTAGCCAGATACTGTGTTAAAGTGTTAAAATAGGGTCTAAAATTACTTTTGAGATTTTTTTTTGGTAAAAGAAAATGTGCGCATGCTATTCAGTGGCGTATGGGGGGGGGGGGGGGGCAGAGGGGGGGGGGACTCTGCCCCCCCCCCGCGGATTTTTTTTCATCACATTTTTTGTTCAGGAATTATTGAAATAAATGGTTAGAGAGTTCTGACATCATCCAAAAAAAAAACCCGCTCAAAAAACATTACAATGCGCCGTGAAATGGGTATATAATATGCAGTATGCATAATAATTGTCAGTTTTGAAGAGCGCCCCTGTTTAGAACACAACACCCCCCCCCCCTTGACATCAAAAGCTGGATACGGCACGCTGCTGATGCTATTCCAAAGAACACGAAAAATTAGAATGCTCGAGAAACATTTGAGAAGAAAATCCGTATTCGTACCAAACTTTCTGAAATCCATTGAAATGGAATGAATGTTCTCATTCTGTGTGATTGAATAAACTTGTTTGGACGGGAAAACTTCAAATATTGACGATAACCGTGTGTAAATGGCGAAGTACACTCGAAATTCGTCAAATATGTATAATTTTTTTTTCATTCAAAAAAGTAGAGCACCGTGAGTTTAAACTGTCACAGACAATTCTCCTCCATTTCAAATTTGATCCAAAAATGGTGTACAACCGAAAGGTATACATACAATTACAATGAAAGTAAACTGATACGGACAATGTGCGTGACAATTAAACACAAATGGATGTTCCAACATTTGCATACAATAACCAAAGTACATAAATGAAGTTTCCCACGGTAGCTAAGTGAAGGCAAATATATTTATTTAAAAGCAACTAAGCGAAGCTAATGAAGGTGGAAGAGGAAATAATGAGCTAAAACAATGCTACCGTCTGCACATGACTCGCTTTCCCACGCCAATCAAGCAGTAAACAAAACATGAGAAAGAACGAAGTCACGCC